TAAGCTAAACTAACAAGAATGACATTAAAAAAATGAAAGCTCAAAGATGACCTTAGTCAAAAAGAACATGCTTGCCCACCTGCTTGTTGCTGGTTTCCAGCCCTTCACTTGGAGAGGCGGCACAGCTGGCGGTGGAAGATTTTGAGTGGCACTGTCCCCTGCTGCAATAGCGGTCACAGGAGTAGTAGCGCTGTTTGTCTGCAGAGGAATGATGGTGTTTCCTTTCATGGGAGCGTCCACGGTCGTGGGCTCGCTCTCTGGAGGCTGTTGTTTCCGATGCTGGCTTACTCACTGCACCTGTGAAGGAAGAAAATATTGCTGGGTGTTTCTGACAAGTCCTAAGGTTTTCTTACTCCCCACAGTGTTTAATACAGTGTTTCAGTAGGGGTAAAGATTCTAACAGTCATTACAGAAACAGCATAGGTCATTTCTAATCTAATTAATGATTAAGCGTTTAATAGGTTATAATTAGTTTGGGATGGGAAGGCCTTAATCAGAGAGATGACTCTGGTCACTCTGACAGAGCTCCAGAGTTGCTCTGTTGAGAGAAAACAGTCTTCCAGAAGGACAACCATTTCTGCACCATTCTACCAATTATGCCTGTATGGTAGAGCGGCTAGACAGAAGCCGCTCCTCAGTAAAGGGCAGGATGTCATCCAGGACTCACAGACCATTAAAAACATAATTTCTGGCCTGATGAAACAAAGACTGAACTTTTTGGCCTGAATGCTGAGCTTAATATTTGGAGCCTATCCTAGCTGCTAGCCAGCAAGAGGCAGATAGTTGCTGGATAGCGTAGTGGGCTACTGGAACAAGGAGGCATAAGTGGGCAATAAATAAATAAATAAATAAATAAAAAACATGGTGCTGTTGCAATGCTACTACATAAGTAACCCCAGCAGAAGGGGTTACATGAATAGGATGAGGGACTTATGGAATCTTTGATACCCAGCATCCAGATTGACGGCGAAACAACTGGTGTTCCAACATTCAGAAGAAAGACCTACTCTCATGGCTAGAGATTGCAACAGCAAAGGGGAGGCAGGACGACAAGTATCATCACCCCCACCCGAGATTGGGTACCAAGTGCACCGGAAGAAGGATCTTTGAGTGCAAGAGGAACTGACCTGAAAGATAGGATCACAGTGAAGCTTGAAACCTGGATGTGCAATAATAACCCCACACCACAACACAACCTCAGAAATGTGCATATCTTAACTGTTACGTGCAATATCTGCATTATAATCAGACTCCTGTGCATGTAGAAGTATATATAGAAGAGAAGTGCAGTCGGATGGTAACGAAGAGAGGGAAGGTAGTCAGAACTGAGGAGATCGAACTACCAGAAGGCAACTTTGCAACGTGTTCTAGTAATAGAAGGGGCTACCGTTTTTTTTAAATTTTTTTTTTATTCAATTATTCATAAAAGGTATATGATAATATATAACAGGACTAATGGGACAGTAGTACAGAGGTTTCAGAAGTTGCTTTAGAACTCTTCTGTTGTGGCGAATCCACTTAGGCAAAAAAATGGATTGGACACCTGATATCGTCGATCTTTAAACATAGTCGTTCTCTCAAACATCTGCAGAGCCTCATCATCTTCTGGGTTCTTTGTTGTCTCATTTGTAATACCCAGATACTCTTTTTCCCAGAATGCTTTCAGTTGCTTGGAGAGGAGTTTCTCTTCCTCACAAGGAATGAACATGCAGGTTGCCTCTGTAACAGTTGATGCAGAGACTGGACCCTGAACAGACCATCCGAAGGTGCTCTCCAGTGCCACCAATGTTTCTGTAAGTCTCTCCACCCTTCCTGTCACGATCTGCCAATAGTAGTCAGCTCCTATGAGGACAGCGTGCTCTGGTTCCTCATTGGATCCTGGGAAGTCAGCCAGTTGTAGTCCTCTTTTCTTAAGCTCATGCTGGATCTGTTCACCAGGAACCTTCATTATTGCCGAGCACACTTGTGGGGTCTCCACAGCTTCTATTACAATACTCTGGCTAGGATCCCAGATATTTTGTAGCATAACCTTCACTATGCCGCGCTGTGATCTTGTGGGAAAGGAGGACCCAAATGTGTGTAGTGTCAATGTCTCTTGCCTTATTACTGGTAAATTTAGGCTCTTCACCAACGTTTCATGTATAAAGCTTCTTTGGCTGCCTCCATCTAATAAGCAACGAGCTACCCTTCTGCCTGTCGGGCCTTCAATCCACACCTTTGCAGTCTGTAGCAACACAGTGTTCTGTTCACCTGGTTTCACTCTTACTGAATGAGGGAGCACGGAGGAGACCACTGCTTCTTCTGGTTGGGATGGGGCCTGTACATCCACCCTTTCACCACC